GGCAAACTTTGGTTAGAGCTTACTTCCCGACCCCTACCAGGGGACTATTTGGAGCTTCCCATTACATCATGTAGCCCTTGTAGGCATATCTCCTTACATTAGACAGACTGCATGTTTCAGTTGCCTCCCTGACATCATCCCCGCCGTCTCTCTGACCCCCTCTCCCCCTCCCCCACAGATATGGTGCTGACCTTTATCCAGTCGCACCCGCTGGTGGACCAGGCGGTGTCCCACCAGCGGAACCAGCCCGTGTTCTACCGGCGGGACCTTGTGTTCACCCACCTGGTGGTCGACAAGGTCACCTCGGGCACCTTCGGCAGTGACCGCGAGTACACCGTCTACTACGCCGGATCCAGTGAGCATGACGGGAGAGCGAGGGGCAGGAAAGAGTGACATGGGTGGTACAGGCCCACTGGTACTTGCATCAGCATTCCTTTCCCCGATGCCATGTGTCGGGTGTTACATGTTACGCGACTACTTTTAGTAAAGGGAAAAGAAGTACTAGACATAATAAAGAATATCCGCAAAACAATTTTCACGAAATACGGCTCAAGCATTATTGTAGAACATAACCAAAGCCGTGTAAACGGGTGCTAAAGTGTATTCATGACTCCCCGAGTGTGGCGCTTTGTTTCGCACTGTTGCTGGGTGTCATGCAAATAGCGACAGCGTTCTGTACACACCGCAGAGCCCAGCTGCGGCGTCCAGCGCTCCTGTCCAGCGCTCCTCAGCAGTGTTCGTACCGTGTCAGCGTGTCTGACTAGCCGTCCCGTTCCCAGACGACGGCCAGGTGTACAAGATTGTCGAGTGGACCGCGGACGACCGGTCGGCGGTGCGCTCCGAGCTTCTGGACGTCTTCCACGTCACGGCGCCGGAGCCGGTCCGCAGGATGGCCATCTCACGCAGGGTCAGTGAGGGAGTCCGGCACTGGGGGAGAGTCTAGGGGCTGACGTGGGTACCGGGCGCTCGTGAAACGTCTAAAAAAACGAGGCAAATTATCAAGACATAAAAAATCGTCAAGCTAGTGTACACACAGTGCTGTCTAGAGTTCCTACACTCCGTGTGATAAGTCATTCTGCATGGTTGAAACCTATTGTAATGTATAGCTTCCCTGCTTACATTGAAGCCTGAGAGATCTGCATTTCTAATCTACCCCATCCTCACTGCATACTAACAAACAGCGTCTATCAGCTCTCCTGCCGACGCGACGGTCCGCGACTGCTGATGTGTTGCTTGCACTGAGAGATATACAGCATTGCGTCATATGAGGGCTTGTTTGACAGTAATTGTTAATGCTGAGTCTGTTGAAATGATGATCCGGTAGTTAGAAAGGGACTCATTATGCATGGATAGCAATAACTCAACGGTAATTACAACTTCTTTATTTGACATGGGGCTGGTGACATGTTGATGACATCAAAACTAATTATTTAGCCTTAATCTATATCTAACTATATTTAGCCTGGTGTCCATAGGTGTATGGCTGTAGGCTGAACGGTCTTGTAAGATGACACCTACTAATTCATCCTAAATACGGGAATGTTGATGTTCTCATATATTTATGACAGTACAATTGCTCGCGTCGTCTGCCCTAATTACGTCATGCGCCACAATGACGTCACAGTTATCCTCCGGTGACCTCACCGTTGTTTACGGCCGCAGCACAAGTCTCTGTACGTGTCGTCGGACACGGGGCTGCGTCAGTTGCACCTGGAGATGTGTAACGGCAGGGCGGACAGCTGCCTGCGCTGCGTCCGGGACCCCTACTGCGGCTGGGAGAAGGACTCCCGCACCTGTCGGCCCTACGTGCCAGGGTAGGTCGGACCGTGGGTGTGCGGGATGCCCAGTACGAATGGCTTCATTCCCTATATTGCAATGAAGTGCATTTGTGAGTGTTGCCAGGCTACTGTCACCGATAGTAACATGTTTGTTTACAGAGTAGACATGCACATCTCGAGTTTATTTTGCTTGAAAACCTCGTGTTTATTTTCATTGAATGAAAAATATTTTGTTTCAAGACTGATTAATAAGCACATGCACATTGCACAGTCTGATTGCACGTACTACACTGAGTAATATTCACGTTGAAACTCAAACGGATGCTGATTTATCCCCCCACTGCGTCGTTTCAGCCTGCTGCAGGACGTAACGGGCTCCCAGACGGGTATCTGCGACAGCTCCGTGCCCAGGAGGAAGGTGGCGGCCACCTGGGGTCAGGCGCTCCACCTGGGCTGTAACGTCAAACTGCCCGAGCAGAGGTCGCACCAGCCGATCGACTGGTACCTCTGGAACAAGGAGCGCGGGCGGCACAGGTGAGCTACGTGCTCTATCATTGTATATGATTTCAGCGGGCTAGTTAAGGATCATTGTCGACGCTCGAGGCACCCTTCGACGCTTGGATTAGCTAGGTAAAGTCAGTGCTCGCTGATCAGAAGTATGGCATTTGATTATGCCCCGGCACCTCACGCGCGACCTGTGACTTGTGACCTAGCTATCCACACCTTTGATCAATGACTTGGTCCTGTTACCGATTGTCTGACTCCGTTACCGCCTTCACAGGCTGGAGCCGAGCCCCTCCAAGTACGTGCCGACAGTGGGCGGAGGAGTGGTGGTTCTGTCTGCCACTGAGCAGGATGCCGGCCGGTATGAGGCGCGCCTCGGGGAGGATCTGCTCTGCGTGTACACAGTCACAGTGGACACCCACCGCTGTTCGGCGCCCGACAAGTCGCAGGTACGGCCGCGAGAAAGGCACTCGAAGTCGAGGAAGGCGTTCCGCTATTACGCATCAAAACGATGTTACGATATGCTATTTGGTTGAATTTGTTTATTTGAATGTTGATCTTCGGTGGTGATCAGTTAGCTAGTAACAGGTAGTAAGGTACCACGATGTTTATTACCTAATTTTCAATACATTTCGAGCTAAGGAGTGTAGATCTGAACGGTGAACCAATGTGTTGTGTATGCCTGCTGACGTTTGGTGATGGCATTTCAGGAGTACCAGAAAGTCTACGCCGACTGGTGCAACCAGTTTGAAAAGTACAAAAGTGCCATGAAAGCATGGGAGAAAAAGCAAGCGGTGAGTCTAATGGGCCTATGCCACCGGTTACCGTCATTGCGGTATTGCCTGGATGACGGACGTGTCATTAGACTGTGCCTGAATGGCAAAAGTATAAAGCATATGTGTAATATTGTACCGCTTGTCACCTTAATTTTGCGGCCAATTCGCAGCAGCGGAGACTGCGGCTTCTCGGTCTCGTGAAATGTGCCGCGCAAGTATCAGTTTTGCTGTCAAATCATAGATGGCGCTAGTAGAAACGCCTGAAGTTATACTGTACCGCATAACACATATCTGCCGTAGAGGCGTGCTTCGATGGCTATGCAACTCGCGACGACCGCGAAAATAATTTTTAGGGGAGGCAGCATTGTTTCAATTAATGTTTTGTTGTTTTAGAACGTGTTTGGAATAGACGGTCGTTTGCAGCCTTTGTATGAACTGTAGACTGCTTCCTGTTATTGGAACCGGAAACATGACCGATCATCGCTCGATTTCAGCAATGCCGGGGTCAGAACCGGGGCGTCAACCAGAACTCGCACTCAAACGACATACATCAGCAGCCGCCTCCGCCGCCAATCTGAGTGCCTTGGCGTACCTCTGTGCGACTGTGTGACGTCAGACCTGTCAGCGTGAGAGCCAATCAAAACAGCGCGGCCGATAGAGTGTGTCAGTGACAGTACTGACTGGCTGGAGCCATCTGACTCAGTGATTGGTGATGAAGTTGGCGGGCTCACGAGTGAGACTGCTGACATGGGAGACACCCGGGACTCGATCGCGAGAGCCCGGATGCAGGTGGCGACGGACGCGGCAGATCGCCAATACTCGGCGCTTCTCGCGCTCAGCTGTGATGATCAGTGCTACTTCAAGTTCGCTTTGTGGATGATGATGGCAGCAGTCCGACCACAATGACGACTAGTGCGTGAGATTTTGTTATGCGTATCGTACACAATGCTTTTGCGCTGAATGTGTCAGCGTGGGAGGCATAAACTGCTTCGGATGATGAGTTGATTGTACGCTTGATAATCATGTCATATTCCGTTCGCCGTGAGAGTGAAGTGAGCTGTTGTGAAGGCCCGTCTGGTCACTGGTGTCTTCCATGTTTGGGGCGTGTGTGCCGGGCTGACCCCGGCACGAGGAAGGCTCTAGAGCAGCAGCTGGCGTCAACCGGACGTTCTATAACGGGTGCTGAAGAATGGGTGGGTGACCACTGACCAGTGCCGCCGGGACCGCTGGGTCTGCCCCCAGGTGCCCGTACGCCACCCTCGGGTAGGTGGCAGCGACTATCATTTGACACGATGCTCAGCTCATGCGGGCATCCTGTATATGAGCCGTAGATGTGAGGTACTATGTGCTGAATTGACTTCATAATAACAAATATCATCGAGTATCACACTGTCTATTATCACTGTAATGTCGTTAATCGTGAGCTCAACAGATAACAGACAAGAGTTCACCATTGCTACCAATTCTGTGCCCCGACCACCTAACTTTCTTGTCTCCTCTCCTACCTGCTGAGCGTATTCACGATTCAAGTATGCATCCGCTTGGCCTTGGCCACTAGCCCTTGTCCCCCCGACACTCTGGCCCTCCCTGGTAGCTCAGTTTGAAAGAAGACTTGATCTCAAACCTTACTGGAGTGGTCAAAGCTCGGTTCGAGCCGTCTAGGTGACTGACATTTCTCCTCACTGGGACGATCTGGCAGTCAGTAGCAGTGATTTCATTAAGGAACAGACGATTATGGTGAGACGCCAAGCATGACTTTATTTGCCGTCGACCTGTGGACCGCGTAGTTCCCGTTTTGTTGGAGGGTACAAAGGCCCGTGCAGTTGTGCGGCAATGTCGATTCAACGTGGATATCTACATTACCAATTGTCATTCATCTTATATCTTAGATATAGATAGCATGATCATCTTAGATACAGCTATCGGAAAAGTAACGAAAAGCAGCATTTATCTTTGAGCAGCGTGTATATTGTCAACTGAGCCCCATAACACACACCCCACCAAGATAACATGTCGATGGTAAAACCACTCATCACGAAATCACAACGGCCCGAGGGCCAGGAGTGGTCACCGTTAGCATTGCATCAACACCGCGCAATGAAAGCCACAGCGAACACAAGACACCAACCTAATGACGGTCTGTCTCAATAGCATTGGACCGCTGCGTCCTTCGATGGCTAAACACACCGGACGGTACAGACCAAACCAAGTCCACATAACAGGGGCAAGAACGTCGAAACCCACTCCCCGCATGGCTATTCAGGGCAGCTATACTTTACACGTTTTCGAAAGATGGCTGTAGGAATACCTTGAAAGAATAACAACCAAAGCATCAATCCAAATCTATCGTCTTGCTACTTGCGAGACACAATGAGCTCGGTATCATTGAAGCTACAGTGACATTTCCACTTACGATAGACAATCCTGTCGTCATTCGTTTTTAAAGCCATATAAACTCAAACACTCGAGCATCTTGGTCTGGTGAATCCTGGTTCATCCAGATCTTGGTTATCTCCTCAAAGTTCCTGGTCATCTGAAAGCTCCAGTATCTAGCACTTCTAAGTTCTAACGACATAACATGACATTTCCACAGACAAATGACTCCCGTCCCATCCTCCCACATACAACACGTTCAACATCAAACCCAACGTATACCTTCCAGCTCCTACCCAGTTTCCAGTGAGACGACTCATTGGCTCGAGGGTGTTTGCGGAGGGCCGGCCGTCCTCGGGTCGGCTGGGGCCTCCAGGTCGTGACAGCAGTGTACCACCCAGCGGGCGTTCGGGTTCTCCTGGTAGCAGTCGAGTAGCACCGCGCAGTGCTCCAGACGCCGCTCGCCTGAGGAACGCCAGAGAAGGGATTGGTCAGAGGAACGAGCAGTTGCAGCGAACACGGAGTAAAGTTCAGCCAGCAGTAAAAATGTTACGGTATCGAACGGTATTCATACAACCTCGTGTCAATGGCAGATGAGATCACTATAACTGATCACATCATGAACTTACCCATTGTACGTAACTGATGATGAAAAGTTGCCAAAGAAGTAAGTAACAGCATGGTGACTGAGAGTTACTGAGCAACGAATGAAGAGAGCATGCTGCTGAGAGTAGAAATCGATGATTAAAAAAAATTGTCCGAACCTTTTGAATGGAGGGATTCACTTTTCACAAGGACAGAGCCCCTGCTAAGTGAAGCCTGCTGCGTTGACTCTGCTTGATTGTTGATTATAGCATTGACACAAAGCTCGATCCTACTGACCTATGTTTCCGCCGTGTTCGTGCAGGAAGTGTGTCTGCAGCGCCGTCGCCAGGTCCACCCTCCGTCTGAGGCTGCAGACGGTGCCGACCTCCGGTGACGGCGCCGTCGAGTGACGCCGCCGCTCCTGACGAACTCGACAGGAGGTGTCCGGCAGCGCCACCTCGCGGAGACAGCTGGCGGACAGGGGGAGACACCGTCAGGGAAGGCTCAACATGGAGCCTTCAACGCCAGCATAGGACACGAACACCAGAAGAACCTTATCGTTATAACAACAGCACGACCGTGCCTATCAATCAACTGCAGGCTCATCTTTTGCATGCATTTAACATCGCCCTACCAGATCATCACTCCAAGACAAAAAACGTCCCACCGATCCCCTCTAAGCTCTAAATCCCGGGTGTCTCCGCTCGATCGTTTCCGTCGGGACCCACCTGGCGACCAGGTCTCCGGCGGTGGTGTCTGCCTCCAGCCGGACTGGCCAGCTGGGCCGTCCGAACTGATCGGCCGACACGCGCAGTACTCCCTCCTGAAAGTCCACCTCGTTATCGATTTTCCTCACGATGGCCGTGTCCCGGCGGCGAAGCAGCTTCTTCATCTGGGAGCGAGAAAGAAAGAAAGAAAGAAAGAAAGAAAGAAAGAAAGAAAGAAAGAGAGAGAGAGAGAGAAAGAGGCGTCAGAACGTGGCCACTGCTAGATATGGCAAAAATCGACAGTCGGCTAACATAAAACATACCTCAGACAGTCAACACTAATAAAGCCAATGGGATTCCTATTTAACTTTTACATCAAAGCGCACTCACCGGTCCAGCCGAGTCGCGTCGGGCCCGCTCGTACAGCTCCTCCTCGTGCTGGTGCCGTACCTGACGCACAAACTGGGGCGGCACCAGCCACAGCTGCTCGCGCTGCTGCACCAGCCGGCGCACCACGCGAGACGTCACGGCCGCGAACTGGATCTGCGGGTCGGTCACAAAGGTCACCGGGCGGCCTAGGCGGGGTCAGGAGTTGACCGTGCCGACCACAGAGGTGAGCTGCGTCACCCCGCTAACAAGAACCACTCATCGTTGAGCTAGCCGGTCGTAATAAAATGGAGCGTTACCAACTAAAGCCATTCCTGGATAAGATGAGCCTTATGAGTCGTGCAGCACAGGAACAGCTCAGCTCAGCTCCACAGTCAATTCCCTTACCTCAGCCGTGATGTCCTTCTGCCGTCGTCTGGCCGGCGGGATGAGGTTGGGCGCCATGATCATGGCCACGTTCTCCAGCGACATCTTGTTGGTGCGTTCGTGGGCGGCGATGGCGGCCAAGAAGTCGAGCAGGCGCCGCAGCAGGGCGCGGTTGGCCGGCGGCAGTCTCAGACAGAGCAGCGAGAGCGCCTGCAGCTGGTCCGGACCGGCCGGCAGCGCGTCCGACCGGTAGAACGCGTCCACACTCTCGTCGGTGAGCAGCGGCGCCGGCAGCTGGCGCAGCAGCTGCTTCAGCAGCGCCGCCGCGTCGTTGGCGCTACTGGCTCGCAGGGCCGCCTCCACCGCCGCCGGGTGGCTGTAGAACTGATCGTCGATCAGCTGGCGCAGCTGCTCGGTCTTACCGCGGTGGCCAGGCACGCGCAGAAGGCCCTCCTCGCGCACACCGTGCCGCTCCAGGTGCGTCAGGATCGTCTCAAAGACGAGCGGCACCGGCTGGGCGCGCGCCAGCCGCTGCAGGTCACGTTTCAGCAGCGAGCCGAGCGAGGCACCAAACACGGCGCCCTCGGCACTGGATCGAGCTCCGAGCCGACGCCGGCGCGCCTTCCGGCGGCTGTAGCTGAGGCCGTGCTCGTCAAACAGTCCGGTGAGCTCTAGCAGCGCCAGCTTCTGCACACGCACCACGTCCGACTCAGAGAGGTCGCAGAGCCGCGTCCGGCCGAGCCGCTCTTCCACGGAGAGCTGTGGAGGAGACGGGAGGGCAGGTTAGAGCAGAGTAAGACAGGTCAGAGTACGTTAGGGTAGGGCAGGGAACGATGAACAATGAGGAGGCTGCAGACTCAGATCAAGTAACTACCTGGCCTGGTGCAGTCACGCAACTCCTTCGAAGGAAGTCGCATGGAAGTTGCAAACTACGCCGTCACATCACGTCATGGAGACATGAGCACAGGAACTATTTCGGATGACTGACTGACAGATCCAAAATGTGTGAACTAGCATGATCAACGATCAATAATCGCAGTCATGGCTGAACAAAGCACCCGCGCTCCATAGCCCAAACTCTCCATAACCAGCAGTGAGAACGGACTAATGCTGGCGGGGACGTGTGATAAGGTACAAACGGTGTCGTTTTCCCAGGGCGGCCGAGCCTCCCGTTAGAGGCGTTTGATTACCGCGGTGCGGCTAACCGTTACGTCACACCGGCCGGGCGCCGCCTCCCACGGCGGCGTCACGGCCGCTGCCGGCCGTAACACAACGTGCTATTAGTGAATGCCGGCGCCGCGCGGCCGAGCCCGGCGCCGCTGCACTCTCTTCACGGCGCATACCGTGCACAGCAGCGTGCACGGGCCGACAATACGTGCCGTGCACGGTGCCGAGCCCGTTAGCCTGTGAGCGGCCCCGGCGCCCGTCGCCTCTTCTCACCGTGGCAGTCCTGGAGACCGCAGGTCGGACGGCGGGGGCGACGGGGGCGGCGCTGGTCGGGGCGGCAGGGGTGGAGGCTCGCCTGCTGACCGGTGGGTGGCGGACGGCCGGCACCTCTGCAGGCCGGACAGGGGCCGGAGCGACCGGCCGCCGGGGACGCCGCACCGAGCCCACCGACTGGAACGAGACCGTCTCGATGCCTGCGGAGGGTCACACGTCGTCAGTGAAATTGCACGTTGTTTGCCTGGATCAACGACTCCGAGGTGGTCCGTAGTCGGGGCATGGGTCTGTCGTCTACTACATTAACTATTAGGTGATATGATGGGTAGAACGTGTGTTTATAACTAGCCGTGGTATTTTGGTCGATACCGAAAACATTTTTTCCCAATGCCTACCTCCCTGCAGGCTAAAACAAAACAACTGTCCACCAATCAGCAATGGTAAGCTCATTTATCTTAATTAATTCAAGAGGCCCCGAATAATGACCAGGTATCACAAGCGCACCGTATCTCGATCGAATAATTTCTTATAAAACAATCGCTCACTGAGTCCGTTAGCTTAGCTGAAACAAACCAATGAGCCCCAAAACCCCCGAAGATCTTTTGCGATTGAATAAACGGTCGCCTGTCAAGTATATAGGACCATCTCTCCAAGTCTCTGCCATGAGCCGACGTAAGCCAGCCTCTCCGCGCCCATCCCAGCGAGACGTCCGATCAGGGCCCGATACCGCACAGAAGCCTGCGCCGGCTCCGGAGACGCGGACAATGCGGTATCTGGCGCTGCATCTGCGCCTCATGGCTGGTCGGGAGAGCAGTGACCTTTGACCCCGGACAGTGAGGTCGCACGGTGGCCCTTGACCTAGGCAAGTGAGGTCACAGGGATGGGTCACCGGACCGGATTGGAGCTCCCTCCTCGACTACATCCGTCCCTTCCCCAACCTAGCACACCCATCGACCGCCGGGTGCTCATTATATTGCCACTATCAGCCAGCTCATGTGTGAAAAAAACGGCTTCCAAGCTTTCTTCTCGATATCAGATTGGGTGGTAAGCTATTCAGTTCATCTAAAAATGAAACCATGGTTGGCCGCTTTTGCGGAAAGATACCTGCTGAAGTTTAAAATACATAGAAAGTCCCGCGTATTTTTATATCACTTTGCTGCCTTGTAACAGTTTAGCTTTTAAGAGAATAAAGAACAATGCAACGCGACCATCAGTTTTCAGCTGGAAGAAAACCTTTCTAAGTAAAGATAAGTGTTGACTCAACACGTATCTTGCTGTTAACGGAATGATGAAATAATGTTTTACCTAGAGATAGAAAAGCAAATCGCAGTATCAAACGCCAGACGCGTAGATAGTACCACATTTAAAGTGAAACTACATCGGCAATAAGTCCTTAAAAATAAAACGCTTTTACGTATGAATTACGTTTTAACGCATCGTTTAAATCGAAAATTTATGCTTAGTTCGTACACAGCAGCTCACGTGACGAAGCTGACATGAGATGTGACTGACTGACTTTACGGGTGACGAGTCTCACGGTGCCCGTGACTGACTTGGCGAGGTTGGCGGTGCTTCTGACTGAATTTACACAAAACGGTAATAAGTTTATGTCGGTAAACCTGAATGAGCTGACGGAGCTGCCGGTTCTCTGACTGACCTGATGAGTCTGACGGCGACGACTCCTGCCTGCTCAGGTCGTACCGGCCACTGGTCTCGAACAGGGTGATGGGAGGCCGTCGGCTGCGGTCCGGCTGGTCGCGCGCAGAGCGCAGGCGACGCACCGGCTCCGGACGACGGTCACGTGACCGGGCCGCCTCCCGACGACCTCGGTCACGTGATGAATTCGAGGATGCTCGATGCCGGTCGCGTGACTTCTCCGGTGGCTCTGACCGGTGGTCACGTGACTTATCCGGCGAGCGTGGCCGATGATCAAGTGATTTTTCTGATTGTTCCGACCTGAGGTCCCGCGGTTCCGAGTCCAACGGAATTCGCAGGACGTGCCGGAACTCGGGTACACTGCCGGAGGCGAGGTCAAACGGGGTGTCATTATCTCGAAAAACAACGAAAGGTAGGCTTGCACTGGTTTTTGTTTAAACGGTGAGAAAGAACTAAGAACTTAGTGAGTTGTCTACATGCAATATGTTATTAAATAAACTCGTTGATGTTATTGAATCAAATTATTGACTACGTACAAATTGTCGGTGGTCGTCGTCGTACTGAAACAAGAATAGTTTCAGATCCCAGTCAGTCATACGTAAAACAACAGCAAGTCAACTTTGTATTCAAGTTCAGGAAATCGGTCTGCATAATGCAGCTTTTCGTTTCCGTCCATCTGTAGTTCCGTCTATAGTTTCGTCTATTTTCCCGTCTATAATTATCTCCCTTCTTCAGTCAAATCTCCTGGCTATTCGTACATCCGTCCTCTTGTCTGTCCCCCTTCCAGATCCCAGATTATCGTTCAGCTCGTCTGACATGTACTCTCGTCTTTTCATTGATCAGTCATCCCGTCTGCCTCCTTTCTTATCCCCTCGCTTTCTCTCTGTCCTATCCTCCCATGTTTCCTCTCGCCTGCACTCACCCTGAGGCGCGTTCCTCCTCCTCCCCCGCGCCCTCCAGTCTGTCCAGTGACCCTCTGGAGCTGCTGTGGTAGCCCTGGCTGTTTGGAGAGCCCGCCTGCAGTCTGCCGGCCGTGTCCGGCGGAGTCAGAGGCGGAGACAGAGGGTCCAGAGAGTCGGGCGTGGCGGACCGGCTGCGCGAGCCCGTGCTGCCGCTGCCCTCCGAGGGGAACAGACGGCGCATGTCGGGCCGCCGGCTGCGCTGACCGCGCCGCTTCTGGGCCGTGTCCCGCAGCACGTGCAGTCGCCGCTTCACCACGGCCGCCTGGGGAGACGAGGGCGCGGAAATGCCGGCTGGTCAGGGAGAGAAGTCAAATCGATGGTCCGGGAAGACTGTCTTCAATAATCAAAACATCGTATGTTTTTAACATGATAACGGAAAGCAGCATTATATCAGTACTAAGAAGTGCAGCTTTCGCTTCCTTGTTATTCGCCAGTGATGCGCTCCGTTTATACTTTGACATGTGAAAGAAACCTAGGTAGTGTAGCTGACCTGTCTGTGGGAGAGGGTGACGAAGCCCTCCCACTCGGTGTCTCCCGACTCCGAGGTGGGCTCCAGAGCCGTCAGGAGGGAGCCGAAGCCGGCCTGACGCAGCCATTCCGCCTCCTCCTCGCCGTCTGTAACGGAAAACACATATACGTGGGTCAGCGGAACAGGTCACAAATAGAGGAGTGGGTTTTGTCTTTGACAAGCTTACCTATATTACACCCAGGAATACACCAACGGCTACGTCCATTGATTCGCAACTGTCGCAATAACATTTATAAATCTATGATCACATTTTACAGTAGTGTTAAACACACTTAGACTTCGAACACCGCTATTGGGTAATAACAAGAGGAACCAGTAAACATGGAGGTGCAGATGCAATGAGCGAGGAGAGTTGTACGATAATTCGTGCTGCAATTCAACATCAGTTTCCCAACAGTACAGGAAATGGAACACACGATTGGTTCACACATTTGTAACAGACCAAAATCTGGTAAGTGCTCTTGTCTTAACCATATTGCGATTGCACTTCCTAGAGATAATCCATCGGGAAGATGCTGTGGACTAGCTCTGGTACCTTCAAGAAACAAGCTGCATTAGTCCATGACGGCTCATCACACGGAAGACTCTGCCGCACAGCCCCCGCTCACCACAACCGACCCTAATCCTCACTCTCCAGTATTTCTCGCACGTCCCCGCAGACAGGAGAAAAACTGCCGGCCGGCCGGGGTGGGATCTGACCGGCTGGCGCCCCCGGCGACTCTGTGCGTGCCAGACCGGTGGACGGCGAAAGTGAAGGAGCGGCGGCGGCTGGGGACCGGGTGCAGGGCGGACCGGCCGTGCAGAGCAGGATTGAACGGAGTCTGCAGCCTCAGTCACCGAGCAGGCCAGACGGGCCGGCGAGGCAGGTCGGCTCACTTTCTCCGTCCGCCGACCGGTCCGACCAGACGTCCGTCGATCCCGGCGACTGTCGCGTTCGGCCGATTGTCGCAGAACCGGTACGGAGCGCCGCGCCGAATTCCCGCGCTTCCCGACGGAAGGCTGGTCTTCCGGAGTGGCCGTGGGAGAGATACCGCCCGTGGGAACCGATACCACGGTAGAAACTGACCCGTGGTGGACAGGCCGATGGCAGAGCTGTCGGCTGGTGGTCTCTCTCTGCACCGAGTAGCCGAAGGTGGTGAAGTCGCCTCCGAGAGATTAAAGGCGTCGCCGACAATAGGTACACGGATGCGGCACATGCTCTCTACAGCAGATGGTCCGTCTGTTCATCCCGACAGCCGACAGATGCATTATGAGGCTGGATGTCTTAGTCTAGTGAAATAATGAAAATGTCGGCTGAATAGACGGGTGACAAGCCATGGCATGGGACCGAGACATTACTTTTATTCTTTATCATTTGTGGCGTCGTATTTTGTGAGTAAGACGATTAGCGTTGAGCAAAATGGGTGACTGGCAAATCATCGCCAAAAATGTTGTGACTGTTGAGAAGGCGCAGCATCAACAATATACACAAAGACGAAGTTTACAGCTCCACTCGATATTCCCAGGCCTATATGACACTCTCTCAATGAAAGAAAGTTTCAAAATAAAACGTTCCTGTCATGTCAACCTTACAGTCCCCGTAACCGTCTTAGTCAGTGACTCAGAGAGTTGCCGGCGGCTGCTCTGTACAGATGGTGAGAAGAGAGATAAGGATAACGCCCCAAGGAGAGAGAAAGAGAGGAGAGGGAGGAGGGTGCCCCATCTGCCCGGCTCACCTCCCGCGTCCAGTCGTGTCGCACGCGGCTTTCTCCTGATTAGCATTGCTCTCCTCGCCGTACGACCAATGTTGGCTGCCCTCCCGCCCCGACTCGCGTCCCGCCGCAGCGGCCCCCGTCGAGACCCTGATGAAGCTGCCCAAAGACGCCCAACTCGAGCGAAATCGCCATGGAATTATGCCACTCGGGACATGCAGATCATTGGCGCGTAACAGTCGGAGGAAATGGTCTCATGGTGATCTCTGACACGGCAGGAAACGCTGAGAGCTTGGGAAACTACGTCCAGGAGCCCTGACTGGGGAGTAGCTCCTCGTAGATAATTATCTCATCAACAACGGGAGCAATCTGTTTATCGTAATGGGCCTCATTTCTCGGGTGCGAGTTCCGCACATTTCGGGAGGAGCGGTGCGCTGACAGCCGCTGCCGCCCGCCAGCGTAATGGCCTCGCCGCCGTAATGGGTGTTAATGGGAGCGGCCGGGGCGATGGCCCGCTGTCCGTGACCCTCTGCTGACCCCGGCCCGGCCGTGTGGGGCTTCAGACCGACCCGTGGGTGCGCGCCGTACATACGCTTCTGACCACGGGTGGCTTCCTTCCGTTGCGTGGTGCAACGATTTGAGGTGGCCCAACCACCTCTCCATTACAAGAGTGCCGCTTTTTACGTTTACGCTGTCTGCAGACATAGCAGAAGGTTATCTTTTAATTTTAATTATCAGCAGATAAGCATTGTCATCGTAAAAATGAAATAGTTGAGGCAAGGCACATGCAAAACGCTCATGACTCGGTAGGTCTAATTGTCCAGCACTGTGCTCGCAGTTGATTTCCAGGTCCCTGTCGCCATCGTTCCGCTCGCCCTACTCAGCGATCGTGTATTATCTGTGCCGCACATATGCCGTCACTGTCAGACAGACTGGGACCAAACTATGCCGGGCACGTCCGAAGGAAAGCGGGCCGCCGGGCCGGGCCGCCTGTTGTTGCCTATTGGCCGATCAGCCGGCCGGGCGGCGGATACTGGATCCGATCGGAAGGCGACACAGCTGATAGTGGCTGCATACCCTTCCCGACCCAGAGTGACCCGGCCCGGTCCCAATTCTTCTCAGAGAGTCATCTCAGAGAGTCCAGTACTGACACACAAATACCAGCACACAGCCACGCACTCTGGGTCAAACCAGTTTGAGATAAACACCAACTATCGCTTCCATCTTTCAGCTTATACGGAGGATGAGGTTCAATTATAAACTAATTGTCCGTAATTCTTTTGACTGAGCTACCATTCTACCTCCCCAGTCTCTGGCTCTCCATGGTCCACCACCGTCACCGTCTACCGTCTAGCCCTCTGCATCGCCACCACCACCCTCTCTCGTTCTTCCGCAGTCTCCATCCTGCACCTCTACACCTCGTAGAGCTATCGGACACCGAACGGCGCGTGCCGATGGTCGCCGTTCCCCTCCAGTGCTCCCGGACCGTGCGGGGGTCAGAGACCGCGCCCGACCCAGCCGGGGCTGCAGTCCGGGCTCCGTCTGTGTCTGGAGGCCGACTTCATACGGACAGATGGTTGCCGTGGGTGGCAGACGGGCCGACGAATCGAGGCCCTGACTGGCGGATCCTCGTATCCCATCTGCTATCGTGGAGAGGTTCAGACGAGGAGTATCAGAGGCATTGAGGCTGGCGAGAATTACCGTTCTGGAGTCCTTTGTAACTTCATCCTAAGTGCCAAGCAGGCTGTTTTGGCTTCTGGGAACGGAGCACAGGAAAGAAATAACTATTTTATCTCGAGGTGCATATTTCTCTAGAACCACTGACACGCCCTATGACTATACTTCTACCAGAAGTGCAATGTTTCCTTTAGTGAAAGTACTATCAAAGGAAATCTTCGTAGCCGAGGTAGATTCATTCCGATTTCCCAGAGCCATTTCCGGACAGCCCACACACCTGGTTACTGAGCTGCTAACATCAGCAGGAGACAGCAAGGAGACACAGACAAGGGACGGAGAGACAGGAGACATATCTGTACGAGAGTGTGCGGGTGTTGACCGTAATGGGACCTCGGGAACGGCCCACTCTAGGCGGCTGGGGAGACAAGAAAGGGGGCTTGGTCAGGGAGAAGTAATGGCGGTGATAGCTGCACCTGTGGCACTACAAGAGAAACGAAAAGGAGAAAGAGAGAGAGAGAGAGAGAGAGAGAGAAAAAAAAAAGAAAGAAAGAAAGAAAGAAAGAAAGAAAGAAAGAAAGAAAGAAAGAAAGAAAGAAAGAAAGAAAGAAAGAAAGAAAGAAAGAAAGAAAGAAAGAAAGAAAGCGAGACAGAGAGGGAGATGGAGAACGAGAGAGCAAAGGGGCGTGGATAAAGCGGCATGTGGTGAGCCCTATAATGGCCACCACACTTGGCCCTAAACGTTTCACTTGATAGACGCTGTTTTCTATAATATAGATAATTACGGTTATGACCACTGACCCTTTTATTACCTACATGTTGATGATATGGGTTAAATGGTGAAATATAGGTAAGAAAACAAACGCAAAACATAGTTGAAAGTTTATTGACTCGTGTTCTTCCTTACCCATGACCAATTTAGATCTACAAGATATTTAAGTCACAAAAATGGCCTGGGCCTATAACTTTGAGCTGCTGCCCTGCTGCTCCCGCGGCCAGCCGTCGTTCCCTGGGCGCCGGCTCGGCATGGCTGCCCCAGAGAGTGGCACGCTCCCATTCCTGCCGGGACAGCGACCATCTGGTGCGCGCGCTCTCCAGGGCAATAGACCACCGTCTCACCCGCTCCCGCGGAGCGCGGCCAGAGTGGCGCGCTGTCGCTTGCCGCCGGCGCGCAGCCGTTTGCCGCCGGCGCACAGCCGCCTCCCTAAACGCAGCACACAAATGCATCAGACGCTATTGAGGTCAGTGCCGAGCACTATTTACGACGTTTACGACCGAGCCGGACCGGCGGCGGCGGAGGCTGCTCTGGGACAGCCAGGGTGGCCCGCAGTCGACGCGGCCGGCAGTCCAAGTCACGTCACTTTTTAGTGATCGAGTTCGTGACGCGTGCTGATCGACGTCTGTCAGATGAAAGCCGCGGTCATCGGGCCGCGTCGGCGCCGCAGCTGGGCGACGGAGAGGGAGGTGAAACTGCACGGTTCGCCACCAGGGACCGATCCAGACCATTGGTGGCCACCATAGACAGACAGCAGAACAGAACTGCAGGCAGTTTCACTTTTACACGGACTGGCCAAACCGCTCCACGCGGCGGCGACAAGTCACTCGTCAGCGGCCGGAAAAGACTCGACCGAAGCGGTGCTCGGAGCGGCCGGCCGGCCCAGGAAGTTGTAACGAGTCCCACGACGACACACGACCCGCGTTAGGTAACCTCCGGCGGAGCT